CCCCAAAACCCCAAAACCCCAAAACCCCATAATCATTAGGAAATGGAGAATTTAGAATAATAATTCTAAATAAAATGAACTCCCACTCAAGAAATATTATTGGTAAGATGCTTAAATAATCTTCATATCGCTCTGTAATCAGTGCCGGAAGGAAATTTATTTATAACTTTTAATAGTCAGTGAATTTCGTGATACTTCACTCACAGAGACATACAAAGATCAGACATCAAAGCAAACTACCCAAGTTGACCCCTCTTTTACTCCTAAATAAGCATAATGCCACCAAGACAAGAAGGCTGATTAACATAGATCAACGAAAGCTGACTCGAGGGTCAAGACCTATTTCTAAAGAACTTAAAAATTCAAATTTAGAGGTAAAATCCTATTTAAACCAAATTATGATAAACATAGTCTGTTTGAAGCTAATTCTACTAAAATACTTCCCATTCAAATTTTCTGAAAGATAGCATACGCAAAATAGGTTGAGCGGGATGATAACTTTTAAGGACTAAAACCCAAAAGAGATTTCGAAATTATTTAAAAAGAATTAGGTGAAACATATTTGTTGTGTTTCAGTTTCTCTATACTAAAAGATAACCTAACTTCTATAAGCTAAGTCGGGCATTTATAACCAGAGACGATAGATATTGTTAAAGTTAGGAAGCTTATTAGACATATTAGCACCATCCAAACTCATTGGAGATTTTGTTCAGTATTTTAATTTAATCGCAAATGAAGAAATAACGCCTGATGAAAATTCCTCATATTGATCTCTATATTTTAAACTTGAAACTTAACATATTCAGTGCATTTCAGAATAAACCGACACTTATTTATAATAACTTCGGCTATATAAATGTTAATATTTTGGCAATAGCCTAATCTGACATTTATAGTGAGATTTAAAACCAATAAGAGGAGAATTTCTGTATGAAAATGAAGAAGCTACCAAATCAGTGTCAAACCCTTCGTTCAACCCTCGAATTTCTACAAGCAATGCTAAGCGTAGCCATTTCAGATCAACATCTCAGCCGATAGAGCCTGAGCTTATTAAATAAATGTCATAAGCCAAACTTAAATGCATTTAAATACTACAGACAATCATGAAATCCAATTTATATGGAAGATGGTAAAGAAAAGGTAAGCAAATACTTCACCTGAGATTTATTAACTGTTCAGAGAAATAGGGCTTTTTACGGTAAAAAATTAGGCCATATGCATATAGGATCATTAAGAACAGCAAAGAAAGCTATACAGAATAGAAAACCTAGTGAAGTCATATCTTCAAAGCTCTTACCTCTAAAGTCTTGAAGAAGAATCAGAAAACCTGCAACTAGGAGTTATTCAAATAATATAAGAAATAAGAGGCAAGATAGCACTAAGCAGCTCAATCAAGATCTCCTTTATGACAATATAAACTTGAATAAGAACAGAGTCAAAAGGAAGTCTTCACAGAGATCCTCACAGAAGTCTCTCTCTAGATTGTCAAAACCTAATCCTAAATCAAATAACACAAAGGTAGTTTTTAAAATGTGAAATATTTTAGTCTACCTTCTACAATAGAAAAAGTAATACAGCCATGTATACAGACCACTTTGTGCATTCAGCCAACCAGAAGAGTATGTCGTCATCCTTGATCTCTTTAGTTGAAGAGTTTAAATAAAGATAAACGGATCAGTAAGCAAGCTCTTTAGCAATTCTAATCCCACTTAGTTGACGCTATCAAGGATTTTGTGCAGAAAAGAGGACTTAAGCAGAGAAATATTTCTGATGAAGAAATTAACTCAGATATTACCAAGATTAGAGACTCTAAAGTGCTTAATTATAACAAGTATAATGAGCCAACGTTTCATATTCTTGAGAATATAACTAAAGCAAAACCTATATATGCGAGCAAGGCTAAGCTAGAAGATAACTCAAGGTAGCATCAACCTTAAACTCTTTAGGAACAAGCCTTGAAGTGTCATAAATCTGACTGAATTCCATAACAATTCGAATCAAAGTGGGAATTCATCGAAAATTACCAGATTTAATAATGATGCAACCCCATGCAGTATTACGCCAAGCATGAAGGAGTTATACAGGCCAAAACTAAGTCTTCCAATGGTACCTTGCTCTTGCTAATGTTTAGGATACAAAAGAGACTGTATCAATAATCTATAATATTTAGGAAGAACCCTTGCAAAAATATTGGATGAGCAAACGAAGCGTCAAAAGTGGCTTCACTCAAAAAGTATTCCAAGCTATCAACACTACTAAGCAAGGCATTTTTGTGTCTGGCTTCAGGGTGAACAAATGAAGGCAAAATATGGCTCAGAAGAACATCCGCAGACTCAAACTTGATAATTTAGATCATCCAAATGATTAAGCATCTTAAGTTTTCCTGAGAAATTCTATAATTAAATATTCGTAAGGGGTTTTGGGGTTTTGGGGTTTTGGGGG